AAACACAGTTTCAGAGCTGTACGAAGTCATGCAAAAATTCTGCAAGTCAGATGATCATCACAGGAAAAGAGTAGAAGAAGAGAGCAATTTCAGAGCACAAATCAAACCCAACAACAATTTCAATCAGCCAAGAACAAACAACTTCGAGCTAAGATCAACTCCCCCTATCATCAAGTTAACCAAATCGACTATGAGAATGCAACAATAGCTAAGAAGTCCAAGAAGAAAGTAGAACAATTCTACAACCATAGGTTATCAATCATGTCATCTAGGAACGACCAAATACTCATAAAACATATTACCCAATTGATTAAAACCATTCTCAAGCAATGCTTCTTGGGCCACCATCTTCTTACAATAGTTTACGAACCAATTGCAATGTACCATCCAATGCAAAACCGATGGAGACAAGGTCATCCTCAGCAATCCAATGTTCAATCAACTCAGCCAAAGGCTTTGGTTGCAAATAACAATCATCAAAACAACCAATCCAAGCAAGAAAATAATTCTCTAGCGGAGTCAGTAGTCAATGCCAACACAATCATACCAAGCAGAGGCAGAATATTGACAATAACAGGAGGATATGCAAAGAATTGGTAAAAGAGTTATGAGTGACCTGGGCCTTTTTATTCATGCACTTTTAGACTTTTAAAATTAAGGGTTTGCCAAAGTTTACTCAAATTTGAAATATGTGCAAATTTTATTATCATATTTGGTATCTATGAAAATGCTCTAAATGTCAAAGTAGGGGCAAAATTCTAGATTACTAATAAAACTCGGGCCTGTGTATTGACATCCACACATAGATTTAACTGTTCTCTTTTCACGTGCCTAATATTTCTGGATTGGGTCCACTCACTACTATGAAATGAAGCTTTAGGCAAAAACAATTTCAAAGGCGCTGCCACAAGGCCACAACGGTATATTGTCACCCTTGCTCGATAGTTTGTGGTGGCACTGCAGACATACAATTAGTTTGAGGAAAGTTAAGAGTGCTTGACTGATTAAATCATCTCGCCGCTACTTGTACTTATCCTGCAAGCTGTGGAATGTTGTGCTTGCTAGGTTGAGCAAGAAAGCCCTAATGCTGCCAAGTAAGTCGGCAAACCATGCATCCATCTCCTCTATCATTGGTGATAGCTCCATGCTGACAAATATCTTGCAATTATTCTCGAGCATTACCTTTCTTGCTATTAACGGTGGTCATGATTGTTCCTTTGTGCGTCCAGGGCCTTAGTGCCATTGTCATAATGTGCGGCTGACGCTAATTGCTCTACAATGTGCTAGGCTAGTTGACCACTAAGGATCATGTGCCGATGATCATATCTTTTAGTTTTGGTGATTGGGATGACAACACAAGACTAGGACTAACATGTGTGTTGAAGATGTGTTACACATGTTAGAACTTAGAGTGATCTAGTGTAACAAGTGAAGATGTGCCAATGATCATAACTTTTAGTTTTGGTGATCCAGTGTAGACTCTATAGTACATCCATGTGAGGTTTAGGGATTGAAAGCTTTTAGTGATTGAGCTGCTACGCCCTTGTGTCTCGGAGATCCAAAGTGCTTGAGGTCTTCGTTACCTTCTGGTCAAGGAGTGGTTGCCTTCAATGTGATGACACTCCATTCTTCATGTGGAGTGCCATCATATCGGTGTGCAGGGGATGAGGGGACCCCCTCCTTGAGAAGCTCCAGAGTGGATACGACATCTAGTAGAGTAGAATAGCCGAGTGGTAGTGGTTAGACTATGTGACTCACACACTACTGTATGGTGGTAGAGGCCTTGTGTGGAGAATCCAACACCGTGATTGAGAGAGATTTGGTTACCGGCAGCGTACCTCGGTGGAGCTCCAATATGGACTAGGGGTACCCGAAGCACTGGAGTGATCCAATAGCCGAGAAGGGGCATAGAAGTGCCTACTACTACACCACACTACACTTGGCTCTACACATTTACAGAGCTTACCTCTGTCCAGTGTCTAGCCCAATTCATATCTAGAAAGCTTCCCTAGTCCCTCACTATCCGGGGCTAAAAGTCCTGAAATCCCAAAATACTAAAATAAGAATAAGGCTTGCTATTATTAGAAATGTCCGAAAAATATTTTATTCGTGAAGCAGAAACATAAATGTACTCCCATTAATGTGGAATAGGTGGAACTGAATTAGTCAATCCAAGTTGACATTGTTAATTTATCCAGAACTTCTCTCTTTTCCTCGGTGAAGAATCTGTTTTGCTCAAACCAAAGGCCAGGAGTGCTTACTTTATCCTTTGTTTCTTTTGTGATATGTCTTTCTTGAGGATTCATCCAATGAAATCCCAATTTCCCTTCTTTTAGATTTCCCTTCTATTTAGACATGATATAGACTTAATTCTTATACAAGAAAACTCTTTCGCTTCACTTTGTCTCACTTTCTCTAGAATCTCTAGTTGCTCTACCATTTATTTAATGATAGTCAGAGACTATTAAATAAAAAATAAAACACTTACTACTAATTAGATTAGAACCTAATTAAAAAAGGATGGTTAATATATACATCTTAATGAGGAGTAATACTAAAAAAGAACTCTATTTCAGAATTAGGAAACATAATATCCTATTTTATTATTTACTATTTCTTTTTTTCTATTTTATTTAAAGTGGACCCCTTTATTTAAAGTGAAAAACAAATTCACACACCAATGGAAGTTCCATGATCCATGTTGATTCTTCTCACCAGATCTGAAGCGATGTATCAAATTATAACAAATGGATAGAACCAAATTGTTGAACTACATATATTGAGAGATGCATAGATCAAGGTACGTACCTGTGGAGCCCGTCATTGGCAACCACAAGCACAGTAGCCCATGGTGCCTGATGCTGCAATAGTGCACGCCATCGGCAACTGCCTGGTTGCTGCCCTTGGAGCCTGACACCAGCTCCCGCATGTTCATGGAATCCCATGGGGATAGACAAATGAATAGAAGGAAGCAGGACAATATGAATGAGAGAGAGAGAGAGAGAGAGAGAGAGAAGATTGATGAATAAGGATAAAAGAGTTCTCGACAGGAAATGATAAAATTTCTAGTGTTGGCTAGGTTAGGGACATGTTAATGTCTATGGCTCGTCTCATGGGTATCACCTCCTAGTTTGTAATACGAACCGGGATTAAAAACTGAATATCACTCCCCATTTAATTTATAATATCAATCATGTTACAAGCTGGTGATATATACCTGAGTATCACTCTGATCCTGCTCATAATACAAACCGAGATGGATACATATCATCTCTACCTGTCCTATTATAGTAACCTGTAGCGATACAGCATGAGTGAAGTCCATTTCTCTAGTTGTGGTCATTTTCTTTGTGTTACGATCATGAAGATCCTTGTTAAAATGTGGATTTGCATGATTGAGCTGCAAGTTTGACATTTCTTATAAAAAATTACATACAGAAATTAATTTGGTTCCTAGTTCCAAGATCGTTTTTCCTCATATATAGTTACAAGTTATGTCAATCCTAGTACATGCTGTGGACCAGCACATCTCTCTGCAGGCAGCAGGCTCACTATAAAGTATCAAGTCACCACGGTGCATGTGTTACTTCATATCTGCCATACACATGAATTGTGAGCAACATGGATTCTTGAATGCATTCCCCCTTCTGTATAGCATCCCATGCTCCAAGACTTCTAATCTGGGGCATCTGATCAGGATGCAGCCAACTACCTTTCGTGAATGCTAGCTCAGTAGCCATTACTATTCTTGCTATTTTTGTGTATGGATGTAATGGCAGAGCTAGCTAGAACGGTTTGCCTCATGGGATGGACCGAGATGTTGACCATAACAAATATTTCTCCTACCAATTTCTTTGCCATGTAACTTTTCTTGAAAAAAATGCACATCATGTTTCAAATGTCGTTCAACTTAAATAGGGATATAATAATGAAATATATTCATTTATTTATTTAAATAGATATCTGAATAGGCAAAAATAATATGGATGGAACCATATAAATAAAAGTAAGGAATAAAGTGTGTAATCAACCAATACTCACATTCACATATATACAACTTAATGCCCTAGAATTACAGTTAATAACTATAATTCTAGGACATTAAATTGTATACGTGAGTATTATTTGATGATTACTTCCTTACTACGGTTTGTGTACAATGATTTGGCAACAGTGTGTGTCCTACTACCAAAAATACTTATGAGTATAAAAATACTCATGACATTGTATTGTGTCATCAAAATAATTGCTTTGTATTTTCTATCGGAAATAAATATCTATACATATCTGTATTGTACCGTACCATTAATCGTCTGTTGCACGTAATCATAGGTAGCCCATTTAGTTTTCTTATGAGTCATGCATGATCCTTCCCCTAATAATGTATATAACAGCGTAAACAGCTGATGTAATCATAGCCCATGCATTTAGTTTTCTGATAACTGTGGAAAGCAGATCTACAGTTCAATGAAACACTGACGGCATCTTTGATTGAAGAGAATATTGTTAGGGAAGTTAGACAAAAAGTACATTATAGAAGCTGGTAATCGGGGACAGGTTTGTGTTTGATGAGAGTTGTGAGAAGAGTGGTCTTTGGCAAATAGCCAACACAGCAGACAAGTTGGTGAGAGAGAGCGATCACAGGTTGACACGTTATATACATAAGCATCTCACAGCCCTCTTGTCGTGTAAAACTAAACTAACGGGACCTTTCATCCAAGCCCTAGTAGAGGCTATATCGACCAATGTGTGTACATATATATGTGTGTGCAAACACCCTGCTGGTGCTGGCCTGGCCTTCTCTCTCACACACACACACGCTCTCTCATCTCTATCTATCCCGTATCTCTAAAGACACCTCCAGCTTTTATTTGACTAGTCTGTAGATAATAGCCACATAGCTAGCCCAATCATACACAACTGCTCATCTCGTTCATCAAAGTTACTATCCAAGTTCGTCGGCCAGGCATCGCCTTTCTTGTTCCTCCTGTGGCAGAGAGATGGCATCCTCGTCGACAACGAATACATCAGATGGCGCCAAGTCGTCATCTTGCCCGAGAGGCCACTGGCGGCCTGGGGAGGACGAGAAGCTGAAGCAGCTCGTCGAGAAGTATGGGCCGCAGAACTGGAACTCCATTGCCGAAAAGCTGGAGGGGAGATCAGGTTGGTTTCTTTGATCGTCTGTGTTTCCTGTGCTTGTTCTCCTACCTTGCTTTCTTTCTGAAGGAAATTAAAGAAGTTGCTCCGATCCACCATATGCATGTAGTTTTACTTCGTGCATGTGTGTTGATTTTGTGCCCGAGATCATGCATGTGCATCCTTGGATTTTATTAAGGTTTTCTTTTTTTTCATACTTTTTAGAGGGGATGATGTTTGACTTGTTTATATGTGTTATTTTGTGGGGGCAAAGATTTGATATCATGCGTAGTGTTAGTTTGTGGGGAAATAATCTTGTTCAAGCACATCAAGAAAGCTAGCTAAATTAGTTCTTATTCAAGCAGATGACTTGTTCATAATCTTGTATGAACTAGCTATATTAGTTTTTTTTAATTAATTTGAGGAGATAACCTAAAGATAAAAGAATAATAAAGTTATGGTGATGAGTAGTTCTGAGTTCTTCGGTTTCATATAGTCTAACTAGAGGCAATATAACATATATTTGGTTAGTCATCAAGATGAATTAAGAGTAACGTGGATGGGAGAAATTCAATATTATTCGATTACAGATGATCTCTATAAGTAATTAAAAATCACACATGTTCTATAGTTTTGCTCAATTTTGACCAGTACCAAGCATCTTTATACTTCCCCACATCTAACTCAAAATTAGCCTCCAATTTCATTTTTTTTCCAAGATGGAACTTATATATGTATAGACGAGAAGAAGGAAAAGATAGAACATGTTGCTGTGAAACTCTATCTAATATAAAAATATAAATTCAACATGCAAGCACCGTTGGCGCTCATCTGACCCATGCACAACAAGTGCCTGCAGTGTCAAGAGTGGATCACCTACTGGAAAACTCTCATGCCATGTTTGCAATTAAATCTGCGAGGAAACATCTTTCTGTGCCCTCTCTCTTTTAATCCTGTCCGTCTTTATTAACAAAACTAGACTAGAGATGGTTAATTTCAGATAATTTCCTGACATGCTGATTAAATTAGTTATCTTTTATCATACTAATTCGTGTGGAAATATTAATATATATTGTCAAGGCAAGAGCTGCCGGCTACGGTGGTTCAACCAGCTGGACACTCGGATCAACAAGCGGCCCTTCACAGAGGAGGAGGAAGAGCGGCTGCTCAACGCCCACCGCGCCCACGGCAACAAGTGGGCGCTCATCGCCCGCCACTTCCCGGGCCGCACGGACAACGCCATCAAGAACCACTGGCACGTCGTCATGGCGCGTCGCGGCCGCGAGCGCTCCAGGCTCCTCGCCAGGGCCACGAGCTCCGCCGCCTCCTCGCCGTCCACTGGTGGGTACCTCTTTGGCGCCGGCACGCCAGCGACGAGCTCGCTCTGCTTCGGCTTCTCCAAGCTAGGTGGCGGTGGCAGCGGCGGCCTGTTCAGCTCGCCTGCGGCTGCACCTCGTACTTCACTGTTCAAGAGCTTTGGCACAGCCACTGGCGGTAGTAAGGGCTTCCTGGGGGCGAGTTTCGAGGCGTCAGGACGGTACAGCAGCTACAGCGGCAAGCAGCCGACGGCACCTCTTTCCATCACCTTCTCCTCTCCAAGAGAAGCGCTAGGCATGGAAATCGGCCACCATGGTCGCCATGAACATCACCGAAAGGATTATCACGCCAGCGACAGCGCCGCCGATGAGCCACTGAAGAAGAAGGACGTGCCCTTCATTGATTTCCTCGGCGTCGGTGTGTCCTCGTAATTAATAATATTGCATTCTTGAAATACCAGCCAATCGATGTTGATCAATCAAGTGTATTGATCAGTGCTTGTTTGGTTATTATTAGGGCAAACTGCATGCAGTAGTATAGTTGATAAGTATGCAGGGTTAGAGTTCATCATTGATGGTCACAGCGTTCTGATGATCATGTGCTAGCTGATTCATCAATCAAATAAGGCTCCAGATACATCACGCATGGTTATTTTCTTAAAAGTTATTTACTAATAGTCTACTGAATTCCATCTTGTGCTGTCTTTCTTGTGATGATGAGCTAGCTGGTCATCAGATACAATGTATTAGTCATACTTTAGATTATTTGACATCTGATACTTAGATGGACTTTATACTACAGAACTAAAGATGCATGCACTACTACAGAATGGACTTGTTGTCCCGGACGGTAACGGCCTTTAGTCCCGGTTACCGCGCCGGGACAACGATCCCGGGACTAAAGGTGCCACCTTTAGTCCCGGGTCATCGAGCCGGGACTAAAGAGGGACCTTTATTCCCGGGGTATCACCCAAACCGGGACTAAAACCTTTAGTCCCAGCTGGTATTACAAACCGGGACTAAAGGTTTACCTTTAGTCCCGGTTGGTAATACCAGCCGGGACTAAAGATCCCTGCCACGCGGACGACCGTTGGGTAGGGACCTTTAGTCCCGGTTGGTATTACGAACCGGGACTAAAGGGTCCTTTAGTCCCGGCGGCAAAAAATGCCGAGGCTAATGTCAAATTGGGACATCGTTCTAAAGTCTGTTCTCTAGTAGTGATGGTACTGTCTATTCCTTCCGGTTTAATGTTCTTGCCAATAAATGCAAAATATAGATTATAATTCAGATGTTTAAACAACGGCTTATTAAAAAAATATATTGTTTGCCCCAGCAATGATTAATCTAGTTTTCTTGTTTTGTGTTTGATTGAACAAGTTCTACTTTGAGGCTTATATATAGCTTTCACAAAATGTCTATTGCTGAGAGAGGACAAACAATTCAGTCAGTTAGTCATGCTCCAAGACACGATTGTACGTTATCTTCAGAAGAACATGTACAAACCAAAACAGAGCAGCCACAGAATTGTCCTTTATTACTTACAAATATATACCATCTTATTACTTACTTTGAGTTCATTTCAAATAATGATACACCATCAAAGTTGTGTTACATTTTTATCTTATGGGAAGACAGGCGTACAAACTCTAACCTCAGCTCCGGCTCAAATAGTTATGCACTGTACCTACCTTCTGTTTGTTCTAGCTACCGATTCGAGTAAAAGTACAACTGACCAAACATCTATACAGCTGAGCGCGACAAATCTTGAGGATTGTAATTGCTGCTCTCTTCAATTCTTTTGCACTTATATTTAGGTTGTTGCAACTCCTTGCCACTATTAACACATATAGTAGCTACTTAATTGTCTTTGGTTCCTGCAAGCAAAGAGAAAGCTAGATTGGGCAACAAAACTGGCTGTTTTATAAGTAACTAGACAGAGTGTTTAAGATGTCGGTTATAACATTGGTTATCGGATGTAGACATCGATCACGATATAAGTGTATAACTGAATTTATAAGTTCTATCCCAGGGAAAAGGCAAGACAGTTGGTGAAAAAGAATATGGAATTGTTGAGATGTTAATTTGGCGTGTAACCCAACCTTGCTTGCTTATTTGTCTTGCAAGCTCTGGTAACTGTCTTCCTTGCAATGCAATTAATAAGGAGTGTGATGCTTTATTTAGTAGCTTTCAAAAATATTTGCTGTTTCTAACATGTGAGTTTAATTATCGATACAAAATGTGTTTGAATTGGTCAAACAAAGATAGAGCTACATAGCTTGTACATTTAGGTAGCAATGGTCTCTGGCCTAATTTGATCCATGCCACTATGAAAAATCTGCAACTGAACTTTTTTTTTTGATAAACGAAACTTTTATTACTTTTCAAGAGCAATACATCGAGTTGATACAAATTAAAGCTTTGAAAAAACTACTTCTGGCCTTTGCTTTTCAACAGGCACACAACCACCTACAAAGATCCATACCAGCCCAGTGCCATTCAACCACCTTTGAAATTGTAATCACGCCACAATCTACGTCTAAGCGGCTCTATGTTCCCGTGCCCCTATATGAGCCTTGATAGTTGATCCCAACACCCCATCTCTACTGTATGAGAGGGGCTGACGGGTGGGTCTCAAAGGAATGAGGAGTGGACAACACATCATCTGCATGGGACAGGTGTTGGTGCAATTTTGCAGACAGTCTGCCGCATGTGATGGACGGTCCGGTGGTGCCAAACCATGCCTGACTGATTGTGCAAAGGTTTCGACGGATGCGCCACCGTTTCTAGCGGACAATCCGCCGGTGTAAGGTCATAAATGGCTGGAGGGAGTGAATAGCCTAATAAAATTTTCTACAAAGCACTAGAGCAACATTGTTAGTCAACCAAATAGCAAAGCTTTTTGCTCTAGCTCTACTCAAGATTGCAAGCCACCTGTCCAAATAATTCTAATGACTATGATCTATATATCTATCAATTTGCTAAGTCGCTACTTCTAAACTAGTTGAGCTAGCTAAACAACAAAACAACTAGCTACTCAACTAATTACACTACCAAGCTGGAAGAGGGGTATACCAAAAGAACACAAACTAGATACCTCGTGAGATCAACATTAGAACTACGGTTCCAGTACCACTTGTAAATCATGCAAGTATATATATAGCTATCATCTTATGCATGCTAATTTTTATTTCATCAATCAAATTCTATAACTAACATACACCACACAAGCATGTTGTCGGTGTTTCGAGTAAGCACCAACTAGTAAATTTGTATTATTGCGCATTGGGCCCGGATGATGTGCTAAAAAGACACAAGGTTTATACTGGTTCGGACAGAATGTCCCTACGTCCAGTTCGTGGTTGTTGCTTGTGTTATTTGCACTGAAAGGTTCATAGTAGGGGATACAAATGGACGAGAGAGGGACATGTCCCAAGTCTCAGATGAAAAGGTCGAATGGGTACTGAAAGCTTGGTTGCTGCTCAGCTGTGTGCGATGTGATGCATGATATGTTAAATTGATCCGTTCCCTTAGTGGGGTGCCCTGCCTTTCCTTTTATAGATCAAGGTGGGAGTAGGGATTACAAAATGGAAGAAAAGAAGAAGAGCCAGGGCCAAGAAGGTCCTTAAAAGGTTCCCGGTCTTCCTGTCGGCACGAAATTTCATCCCGTGTTGAGGGCACACGAGCAAGCCGAAAGGGTCCGCTCGATGGAGCTGGAGATCCACCTAGCTTCAGCGCAGGGATGGTCGATCCTGCGCACTCCTCCTGAGACGTGTCAGTCAATTTGACCCTACAATTGATAAGGAGAGAAAATTTATCAGTAATTTAGGGCAGAACATGCCGGTGTTGCCAGACAATCCCGAATGTGTGGCTCTGACAGCCGATATGAAAGGAGATCGACTAAATAGTCGATTCCAGCATATTCATAAGAATAAATCAGTTAAAGCTCATGGGGTTGTATGAGAAGGATCGGTTATCGTTCAGGGTGAATATCATTATTTAGATAAATATTGATCAATGGTAATAAGATGTCAACATTAATCAGTCTATATCAAGCCAATGACCGCAAGCAACCGAATTCCTTTTATAAAAGAAACAGTTCACCATCATTTAACCATTTAATAAAGATAAATCTAATAAGCATATTAGATCTCATATATCGCTATGACCAATGGGGCATGAGGCAGAATCATGCAGACCATAGAAACAATAATAGACTCAACGACCCTAACTTATTACTAATATCAGTGGGGCATGAGGCAGAATCATGCAGACCATAATACAATAATAAGATCATGGGGCTAACACATCTTTTAACATATCCCTACTTCAACAATCTCGTGAAGCGAACTGTTCGTGAAAGCACTCGATATCGGCTAAAATAGTCGATTCAGGCATAGCGCACAGTTAAGGTCATGCCTTATCAGGAATAAATCTACCGAATAACGATCCCCACTCCACGGTGCTAACAGTGGGGTGTGAGGCAGAATCACACAGGCCATGATAACGGGCCATGGAAAGGTTTTCGCTAGCCAATAGATCTACTCAAGACACAATATGCCATAACCACATACTATGCACGATCAAGATTGACATAAAACAACCGATAAAACATAACTCATTGTTTAAAGTACAGATTAGATCAGTTTAGATTAACAAATGATGGGTTAAACAAGATATAAGGCCGATCTAGATCAATCCCAATTGGGCGAAGTGATATTGCTGTAATTAAATAAATAATGGAAGCAATAAGCAATATCGGTAACTTAATGAATCTATCCGAAGGAACTCCACCCTTAGATAGAGCCGATAACATGACCTTAATCTAGTTCGAGCAGTGGAGGTCGACCGGATCGATGCAGCCTTACTTGAACTAAACAAGAGTCAATAACTAGCTTATACTAGAGTCGTAGTGGAGGTAGACCGGATCGATGCAGCCGTACGAATAGAAGTATAAGCCATGACGGTACTTACAGACAAGCAGTGGAGGTTGACCGGATCAATGCAGCCGTACACGCTGAAGAACTCACCGAGATCTACTCTACTCCTGCTCCTAAGGGGTGGTCGGAGCCGAAAAAAGTAAGGAACTTGTATTTGATTGATTGTGTGTGTTTTACAATAGCGGGGGTCCAGTATTTATACCCGGAGTCTAAACATGAATCCTACTCGAGCACGATTCGCTACAATCTTTGGCATAAAGGAAAACATTCTTAATTTAGGATAACTTGGACCCTAATCTTTCTCTTTTTGTAGAGTCCGATATGTAGTTTCCTAGCGCCAACCGTAGCTCATCATCGCTATCCGCTGACGTCATCCAAAGAGATCCGATTCCAGAGTCATATCTGAATCAGCTGATATCGATCCTCATGCAATCGATTCCTTAATTGGCACAATCTTAGAAGCCCATGAGTTTCCACGTTCTTCTCCCAAATTTT